ATAATTTTATAAATAATATTTTTTATTCGCTTTCATACTATGGGTCTCATTCAGTTCTCTTAATAGATTCAAATATCGTTTGCTTAACATAATAGATGAAATTGTTAACTCCCTACCAAACAATGAACACATTCTTCAAGAAGTTAATATATCTGCTATTCATCCTCTTCAATCATTATTACAAGACCTCGGCCTGCAACAACATTACCATATTCAATCTCACAAGAACAATCTATTTATAAATGAGACTGAAGTAAAACCATTCAATTTCTGCCTATCATCAGGCAACATTTTATTGGCAATCTTTGACATTGTACAGGAAATCCTAGCTCACTCTACCATCGAAATTAGAAACAACAAAAAAATCCTTCAACCAGTACCTGAATACTCAAGAAGGATGGTTAAAATCAACTTCTTCTCATTGTCTCAGAGAATAAATCGGTACATATAACAAAAATCTATAGAGATCATATATATCAAACCAAAATCCAGACCAAGATCAATCAGAACCATCCAGTGGAACAATCCTTCGCTACACTTTCCAGAAAATCTTCTAATTAACAATACTTGTTTGGGTAGTAGCATCAGATGATGCAAAAAAATATTTAATATTACCAGAGATTACATGGTATATGAAAGCTTCTCAGTTGTCCAAACATTTGGACAAACACATACTCCACATGGTCTAAAAGTCATCAACTAGTCCAACAAAAATATTAGAAAACTTTGTAATAACAAATACAGCATCTTAGTAGCCTTCAGAATTAAACTGCTCTCAGAAACTCTTCCAATCCGTCTTACACTTCACCAGCTATATCCTAATCAATATCCAAATACTCTCTGTCCATGATGTAAACTTTGTAAAGAAGATATTTAACATGTTTTCAAATGCATGAAAGCATTACAAGCAGCTAAGCAAATTATTAAAACTATCAATTAAACTATCCATCCAGATGATAATCATAAACCAATCTCATATACATGGCAAGTCACTGAGTTGTCATGTGGAGTTATAAACAAAATCTTTTCGACCACAGACTCTACGAATTGGATCAAGGCAGCAACAGAATCTTTGTCCTTATTGCATAATCTAATTTGGAAACCATGTTGCTCTACAGCCAATACTTTACCTCTCACTAGAATCAAGTGGGACCATACCAAGATACATAACTTAACCAATTCCATCAATTCAGAAGCTAAAAACATCTCATAGGCCAAAGACATCTTCAATAATCCACAAGATAATATTATTATTGATCTACCTTCTACCATAGCTAACTCATTTATCTAATCTAAATATAATTATTCCAAATGTATTTATAGTTTAACAACTCTATCTACCAATTCTAATTCTACTACTATTTCTCCTAATGCTGAGTAGGTATTTATAGCTGCTTGGTGCCATCCAGCAAAATATATTATTTTAAATTTTCTTTTCAATATTAGTTATAAGGTTACTGTAAGCAAGCTAGCATTTAACTCATTGTACCAACATATAAGAGATGTTGTTTCTTTCATGATGTATACCTTGCTATATACAAATCAAATAAAGAAATAATGTTTACCTACAAAAAAAAAAAATAATAATTTTTTTTATAATTTAATATTTTATCAATTTATTTTTAAAGATATAATCAATTAAATAATTGTAAATAATAATAAGAATTTTTTAATATGTTTTGTTTTAAAGTTAAAGATATTATTAAAAAAATTAATTCAAAAATAAGATTATAAAAATTTTTTTAAAAAATTTATAACTTTTAATTTAATTAATAAATTTATTTAAAAAATAATATATAAAAATATTAAAAATGATTAAAAATATTTATAAAATATATTTTTATTTTTATAAAAAATTTTAGTATTAAAAAATTAAATTTAAAAAAAAAACAATTTTTTTTTATCTATTTCCAACCACTTTATATATATATAATATATATATATAAGAGTAAAAAAATTTTGTTATATATTTTTTTATTATACACCTTCTATAAACCCACCTCCATCATATCAAAAACACAATCATTAAACATTCAACTTCCACAAATCAACATAATCGATCCATTACCAATGCAATATACACTTAAAAACCTAAACAATATTCCTATCCCACCAACAAGATACTTTCTTAAACAAATCAACAAAACCATATGATCCACAGAAATAATTTTTTCATAAAGAGCACAACAAACTTTCAAACCAAACTTCTCACTATTCCTCAATACTCTGACCTTCCTAAAAAACACACCAATTCCAACTACACAATATTAATCTAAAATATATAACTTCCACTTCAAAATCCTATCTAATACACTTTCAACTAAATTACACCTTCATATCACTCTACCTAATATCTATACAAATGACACTTGTCCCTACTGCAACTTGTACATAGAAACTACTTATTATCTCTGGTTTTGCAAACAGACACTACTAACAATTAAAAAAATTCTTACCGACTCATAAACACTTCTTAACAAAAAATTCAAAAATAACAAAAACTTTAATCCCAATCAAATTTCAATTACTATTAACTCTGCGATCCATCTAATTGACTTCGCAACAGGTACATTCCAACCTAAACACCTATTTAACAATCTCAAACCAAACCAGTAAGATTTTAAAATCCTAAACCAAATTCAAAACAAAACTCTTGAACTCATATATCAACACATTTGGATCCCAAGAAACAAAAACATAATCGAAGAGAAAAAATTCCTTGACATCTTACAAAACACCAAATACAAGAAAAATAACAAAAATAACAACAAAAAATCTCCACAACATCAACAAAAACCAACTACCAATCCCACACCTAATCACAAATCAACCCAACAAACCGAATTAACCAATATAATACTCAAACTTTTTTCTCAAAACTCGTCCATGTTTTTTTAGGACAAAATAAATTATTAAGGAGGCATTAGTCCTTCAAAATTAGATAGTTACTTTTTTTTTTCTTGCTTAAAGATTTTTTATCAGAAATATATTTAATATAGTAATAGGCTGACATGTATAGCAATGTATCTCAACATCTCAATATTAATTATATAATAACTTTATTCTATTAATAAAGATCGTGAGAAATGTCTTATTTAACAGTAAAAAAAAAAAATTTTTTTTATTATAAAAATTAAATTATTTTAAAAAAATATTAATATATCGATTAAAAAAAACTTTTTCTGTTGATTCTTTTGCCAATCCAAAAAACAGACATTCTCAAAAAACTTTTTGTTTTTATAATAATAAAGTCTATACACTTTCTTTAACAACACTGGTTCCTTAATCAGCAGAGCAAGCAGAAGCTATCACTTGTTTTATTTTTTCTTTTCAAAACACCTTTCTTGTTTATTTTGGCGACTAAATACAAGAAACCTATCTAAAAGGTCTATAGTAAGAACATCTCTCTAGGAAAAAAACTGACAAGAAAAAACACTCTTCAAAGATTCCCAAAAGATTCAAGAATCCAGAGAAACAAGAACAAAGAAGTCTCCAGTCTTTCTATCATCTCTTTGGCTCCTCTCTTCTTTTTTCTTAAGTGTGCTTTTTTTTTTTTGGTTTTTCCGGGGAATTTTGCCTACCTCAGTTTGATCCTGAATTTTTTGGTCATACCAGATTTCCTGAAAGATGATTAGTTAAGGTCACAGATTGGTTGATCATGTCAGCTACAGAAAAAGTAAACAAGACATGTACTTCTCACCTGTTTCCAGTCGCGCAACACGAAACTGATGATGTAATTGGTTCTTGAAAGAGTTGAACAGTCATTAGTTGAAGTTGTGAGAAGAAGAGGAGCAACCCCTTTTGTTCTCATCTTTTTATTTTCTTTTTTCTTCCCTATTCTTTCTTGAGGACAGAAAGTAGCAACAAGGTCTAGATCTTATCCCAATCTGGTAACAAGTTGAAGTATCGATATTTATCCCGAAAATGGTTAAAGAAAGAGATCTTGAAACTATCTACCGGTTGAATGAAGCAATAATTCCAGAAGACATGGCTTGGGAGAAAAATCAACAATAGAAAACCAACATTCTTTCTGGTCAGAAGTCTTCAAGCGTAAAGTCTCAAGAAATACTCTCCTGGAAGTGCCCTTAAACGTTCTTGGACATCGACTACTCCAATGGAAATTAAACAGTCTGACTGGCCACAGGTGGTAAGAAGTGAGGTATCATGAGGGGCTTGGGTTTTTGAAGTTTACAGAGATAACCTCTTCAATAATAGTTAGAATAGACAATAGCTTTTTTTTCTTTTACTTTGTTTAAAAAATTCCCTTTTTATTCCTTTTTTCCCTTGCATAGTTAATATAAGAGGGGGGTGACACAATTTGGATTTATGGTCGTGACTGCAGAGATGATCTGCAGGTTTTGATTCTGCTGGAAATCTGGAATCTTAATTCTATCCACTAGGGGAATACATTATTATCTCCATAAATCGCATCTAGAGACTTCAGCTAAAAACAGGTGAATTGGGTTGGGGAAATTTATACTTTACATAGATTCTCAACTTGTAATGGTTCTTTATGATTAAATAAATAAATGACATCAACCTGATTGCAGGATTAAAAAAAAATAAAAAAAAATTAATATATCGATTAAAATAGTATTAAGTAAAAGTTATTTATAAGATATTTAACTATATATTTATAAATTTTTATAAATTTTTAATAATTATTTATTAAGTTATAACAAAAAATATAAGTGTCATTTTTTTTGTAACATACTGTATATACAGTATATAAAACAATTTTTGGTAATTTCTGGTATGTGTATATAGTATAATATTTTACTTTAAGAATATATATTCACGTGATGTGCTTCAAAAAAAGTATATATAAAGCACCATCGGAAATAAAGTTTAACGTTGCGAACTGCCCACCTTGTTGAGGAGATATGGTAAATTGGAATGTTTACTAAGCGAATTTTTTTCTGACACGTAATGATTGCATTATAAACCTTATGTTCTGTTTAAACAGAGTATCAATTATATTAGTCACAGAGAGCAGACAAATGGTAAAACTTGTTTCCAGTTCACTTGGAAGCGCACAGGATTTACATGTTAAATATCACTTGAAATTATTAGCACATTCAAGTGGAATATGGTCGGCTTGTTGGTCTCCAATCGGTAATGTTATAGCCACCGGTTCTTTGGACAAGACCATTAAAGTTTGGTTTGTTGAATTCTCGGAGTTAAACTTTTAATTCGACTACCTCTCGTTGTGGGAACTAACTTTGCAAATGATTTCCATAACACAAAAAAAAGGGATCCCGAAACCGGAGATTATTACCGAACTCTTCAAGGACACAATTTAGCAATAATGTCGTTGGACATTGAATCTAGTGGACAAGGTGGGCATTTCGTGAAAAGTCGGAGCTGAAAAAGGATCTTATCAATAATCGCGGAAATTTTCTGTCTACAGTTCTCGTGTCAATATCCTTGGATAATACGATCAAAAAATGGGATGTGAATAATGGAGGATTAGTCGAATCCATATCTGTTAAGCCTGGTAACTTACTATCTGAGAATTGAAATTATTTTCCTGCAGAATTGTGAATTATCCCTGTTGATATGGTCTAGGTGAGGCGTGGAGCGTTCATTTCGCACCAGATGGGCAACGTTTTGCTGTCAGCACTCATCAAGGAATGATCAAACTCTACGATACTGGTCTTTATGGGTTGAACACAGCTGAACAAGCCACCTATACGTCCGAGGGAAAATTCGGATTGTGCGTTAGATTTGTATCCTACTTTAGCCTTTTGCGACAGTCCTGCGGTGAAGTATTGTTGATGGAAACAGCAACTCGAATTATCAAGGTTCATTAAATCCTTGACATAAATATTGTTTACTGCTCCTCGTAGAGTCCCGATGGTAAATATTTAGCTCTCGGTACTGAGAACGGATGCATTTATTTGTTTGATGTGGAAACCACAAGGAATATTCATAAGTACACAGGTTCGCTTCTTTGATCTTTTCATTAGATACTATTAAATATTCATTTAGTTTATGCTTATACCTTTTTCCATTGAAATCAGGTCACACCGGTTGTTCTATAAGAACACTTGATTTTACCCCTAATTCATCTTTATTATTGTCTGGGTCCGACGATGAGACGATAGACATATACGATGTGTAACTAATATTCCCATTTTTTTTTTTGTATAAGATGAGTGAGAAGATTCTAAATAAGAATGTACGATGCACTTTTTACAGACGCCATTCTAATCATATTGCTAAATTTACGGGACATGATGGATATGTTTTGAGCGTAGCTGCGGGAGATAACACGCATTTCGTTAGTGGGTAAGTAAAAAAAAAAGCTCTGAGTTGTTGATAGGTCAATTTGAATTTACCCTCTATGAATAGGTCTACGGATGGAAAAGTAAAACTATGGGATATAGGATCCAGGCAATGTCTATCTACGGTTGGTGAGCACAAAGATCAGGCAAGAGATTTTCTATATAGAGGTCACGTTTGGGGAATTATACTTTCCGCGAACTTACCATTATATCTGATATGAAGGTTTGTGCGATCTCGTGGAATCCCGATGGAAATAAATTTTTATCAGTATCCGACGACAAGACATTAAGATGGTATACCGCGGTTTCCTGATTGACGATTGTTGTGAATTTTTCACCATTAGCATTTAATTTTTAAATAATTGCCCGACAGTTGCCGCCGACTTTGTCAATTCCTACATAATGTTAAAGATCGACTTGTACTAGCAGTGTTTATTGAAAGTGTATATATGAACCTTTACCAAATAAAATTTTCACGCCCACGTGTCCATAAATTTGCCAATCATTTTCGCGCATGCTAAGTTTATATAAAGGGACCGAAAAGTTTTTTCCAATTTTAAGGATGGAGTTGAGAGTCTTGTTCATACTATTAACGACAATATTTTTCTTTGTCATAAATCCAAATTGTTTGTTGGCCCAGGAAACTGACGAGGTATGTGACAAATCTTATTCCTTTGTCCTTTCTTTTTTCCTAGAGGTTTTTATTTTTAATCATTATTCTCTTTTAAAGTCTGGCGATCTTAAATACATCGTTTATCATAAGCTTTTCAATCAACCCACATATTCAGAACGTGGTGTTCTTGTTCTAACGCCATCTCGAAAAGTCACAAAGTATTCAAGTTCCATTGGCACATTATCCATTCAAGATTTTGCCAACGGGACACACTTAGATTCTTTTTATCAAATAAAAATAGTCAATGAACAAAACCCTCAAAAAGTATTGAAATCATTTACAAAGGCAGTAAGTTGAAGTAACGTAATCTTAGGTTTATCAATATTCATGAGAGTCCGATTCAATTAACACGATACATTCGCAGTGTCTGTTGGAGGCGTCTAATTTCGAAGATGAAATAGTAGTCCATTTGGACAAACATAACACCATTCATCATTTCGATTATTACACGTCGATAGGCCATTGTAATTCCACTACTGTTCTGGTAATTAAACTGCCAAAATATTTATTGACTCAAAGAGACATCTATCATTCGGTTTTGATTATTTATTCGAATTTTATTATACCAGCAATTCGTGAATTTCAAGACTACCGTACATACTATTAAGTCAGTGAACGGTGCTAGGTATGCAATCTTCATGGTAGCGCTCGGAAGACTTCCACTTTGTCGTCGATTAAACGATCAGATCGACAAGGATTAGGTTTTACCGAGCGAGCATTATAACTTTAGCATATTCGTGATAAATTCTGATGACAACTTTATATCTTCTTGCGGAACGTGAAGCCCAAAGTTAACAAGAGCTTTACCCCTGAAGGAAGATGGAACGGTAGAAAAACCACCGGAAGAAAAAAGCTTTTTACAAAAATACTGGTGAGAATGGTTTTTCGTTTATTGGTCTTTAATCTGCAAAGTAATTTCGGATTCTCATCTCCGTTGTATTTTGCCAACAGGTGGTATTTAATCCCCATTCTGATATTACTATCAACAAGTGGTGCACCTGAAGAAGGTCAGCAACGCGGACGCGGTGGTCAAGGACAACAAGCCCGTAATTCACGATAATTGCAATCAAAGTTCTAATTTTAAAAATAAATAAAAAAATCAAATAAAACGAAGCTTAGTGATATATATGTTTTTTACTTATTTGAAAACAAAATTACAATATTGTATTTGAATAGATCGACAGCCAGTGTCTATATTTGCGACTCATTTTTAGAAATTTATTCTTAATGTATAATTACTTAGGTGTAACGCATTATGATATGGGGGTCTAGCTCAAATGGTAGAGCGATCGCTTCGCATGCGATAGGTACTGGGATCGATACCCAGGTCCTCCATTATGTTCTACGTTTTCGTTTTATTTTTTTTTTTAATAGGAAAAAAACGCAGATTACGTCACCTTAAACTCTTATTTAATTATGTAATCTAATTACGCATAAATAAATTATGTTTAATGTAACATAACATCTTTTAAAAACTTATACGGAATAATTTATTTTTTTTTAAATAAAATATTAATCCTTGAATAATTTCAGACATGGTACATGAATCTTTGAGATTGTAAGTGTAAACGATATTACTGATCGAAAAATCTTTAAGTCATCTAACGTAATGTGTACCTTTTCTTCATAGATACGCTACAAACGATTCGTACACCCTTATACCATATTATCTCGATCCAAAGATAGCAGCTCAGACTCTGGTCATTAACAGAGAGACGGGTAACTTCGTGCTAGACAATGCTTGTAAGTCTGCTATTGTCCGTCTAAAATGTGCTGCATATCACTTTCATCGTCGTTAATCTCATTTATTTAAAAGCTTTTGAACCGACTTCACCGTCCTTTCATGCGAATGCGCTTACGGTTTACGGCATCTTCGGTGTTATTAGGTTGTTATCGGGTAAGCAAAGTTCGATATGATATGACGCGTGACCGTTGACTTTAATTAACATTAACCATTGATTTAGGTGAATATTTAATTGTAATCACTGGCCGAGATCGCATTGGGAGGTTAGGTGGACATGACATTTTTCAAGCAAATCAATTTCGAATCCTTCCATTCGCCAGAAATAATTTGCAACTTTCTGCTCAACAGGCAAGTACGGTTACACCGGACATTAGTATATTTAATCAAAGCCGTGAAATTTAAACACCTTTCTTCATAACCTAGATGCAAGACGAACAACATTATCTGCTACTTGTAGAAAATCTACTTAAAACTGGAACTTATTATTTTTCCTATACTTATGATCTGACACATACTTTACAAAGACAATCTCAACTGGAAGACAAAACGTCTCTTCCCTTATGGCAAAGGGTATGTATCATTCACTTCAATTTTTTTTAGCGAAATTCGCTGTAGTTAATTTATTATATGCAAGTAGGCGGATGAAAGATTTTTCTGGAACCGCTACTTACAATCTAAGTTGATACAAACTACCCTTAATAATCCTGATCAAAATGTAAGTGACTGATGATATATATTGAACCTTATAGTTTACGGTGTCTGAATTATAATAAATGCGTTTACATTTTCGTGTTAGTTGAGCGATTTCATTCTTCCGGTGGTTTTTGGATGTAAGTCACAAAATGTTTTTTATTTTTGTCCATTCTTTATATTTCATCGTTGTTTATTTATTTTGATCCCACAACGCTTATCATACGACCGTGTTCAGTCGTTTCCATTTCTGCCACTCGAATAAATAATAGGGATATATTGTTTTGTTTAATCACTCGTCGGAGCAGGCACCGCGCTGGTACGTATCAATGTATTTTGAAGTCTTCTATTGTTTTTTTATGTAACATAAGTATTTATTGTTTCTCTTATTCTAATTGCTAATATTGAAATTATTATTTTCCTTCCGGTTATTACACAGGAACGCGCTACTTTTCACGTGGTATCGATGAAGAAGGAAATGTATCCAATTACAATGAGACGGAACAAATGATTTTGTTAGACCCTATTAAGGATGGTCACATGGGTATGTCATTTGAGGGTAAAATTAAGCTTTCTTACGTACAGACACGTGGTTCTGTTCCGATTTATTGGGCTCAAGTCAAAGACATGAAATACAACCCAAAGCTCCAAATAATGGATTTGCCTAATACAGTGAGAACCACTTTTTGTTTAAAATATTACTTGAAAGCATTTTATCCAGTGGTTCCCTTATCTAAATTTGTGCGTCGTGTTATTTCGATTATAATTAGAATGAGTCAATTCGTCGACATTTTGATGAGCAGATTAGATTTTATGGCAATCAAATATGTGTGAATCTTACTAACAAAAAAGGGTATGAATACCCCGTGGGCGAAGCTTATGATGGGGCTGTTAAACAGTTGGATGACGATCGTATATTATATTATCACTTCGACTTTCATCACGAATGTCGCAATATGCAATGGGAACGAATTCAAAGATTGATCGATCAAATTGAAGAAGATCTAATACGGCAAGAGTTCGTATGGAGTCTCTTTCCTCAATGTTTCAATTTACTACTCGGGTATTAACTTACTATATTATCACGTAAATAGATATTTTTATTCTGAAGAATTAAACGGATTGAATATCCGGAAACGACAGAAATCAGTGGTTCGCACTAATTGTATGGATTGCCTTGATCGTACCAACGTTGTTCAGTCCACTTTCGCTAAATGGATGTTGACACAACAGTTGCGGGAAGTTGGTGTATTGAGTAATAGAGAGAGAATTGACGAAAATATAAATTTCATGGACTTGTTTAGAAATGGTATGAAAGGTTTCATCTTATGCGTTGCTGAGTGTAAAGGTGAAGCTTGAGATTTTTACTATCCTGTAATTTCTTATTTAGTCTGGGCTGATAATGCTGATGCGGTTAGTTTTTCATATTCTGGAACTGGTGCATTGAAAACAGACTTTACCAGGTAAGATCTTTTTCTTTGCGTTGATTGATTGATTGATTATTACATTATTTGTACTTTGACCTCGGTTAACCTCTAAATTTGATCCTGCGTTCTAGAACGGGTAAGAGAACTTTTCAAGGGAATATGGCCGACTTTAAAAATAGCGTCATCCGTTACGTGACAAATACTTTCAAGGATGGTGATCGGCAGGTTAGGGGTTTAATTTATTTTGGGGTTTCTTTAAATATATGATGACATCGAAGTTGTAATGTAATTTTCTTATACAGGATGCATTTGATTTGTTGTTGGGCAATTACGAAGTTGGCGTAAATATTTATACATCACCATTTCTCGACAACCGATCATCTCTTACTAAGTTGGTGAGTACTGCATTCTTGGAATTTATTATTAAATTTCTTCATCGTCAGTTTTGCCTTTTTAAGACATATCGTCCTTATTTGTCTATGTAGGCTCCTCAAATGTTATTTGCGTGTATTGCACTCCTGGAATTTCTCTTTTTGATTCCTAAATCCGAAGGTACCTGCGTAGCATTCATTATATTCTTCTGACCCTTTATCGAACCATTATTAATTTCTGCCTCTTAAATTCTAGGTTATTCATATATCGTGGGTATCCTCATGCTGTTCACAACTTTTGTTATCATTAGCCTGCTCCGATATATTTTCGATCATGGTGATGAGTTTATAAATTGGCCACGTCTCATCCCTCAAAAGTATCGATTCTATAAGAATACTACTACACCACGCAAACAAACAAAGTCGACGCAACGTCATAGTGATTCTGAGTATGGTGAAAAAATTGAGTTGCAAAAGATCGAATAGGATATTATACACATCTTTCTAGGTCACTTATTTTAGATTTACAGTATATATCATTTTAATGGTTGACATGTCGAGTAAATTAATTTATAAGGATGCATAGCAATCGTATCATCTTTTTCATGTTTACTTTCTTCGAATTTTTTCTTGGCAATTTGCATTTCTTTATTTATGGGAATTATGGATATTAATTTGTTTTATTAACATATAATAAGTATTAGTATAGTGTGTTGAGCATCAGATGCCGCGCATCCTTTAGACTATTTAGATAAAAACGATAAAATTTGTCGAATTCTTGGCAATAGAAAAATCATAATGAGAACCAATTTTATTATATGCTAAGTGAAATAAGTACAATGAGTTGCACGTGACATACCGCGTTTAGGGTATCTTTGTTATGGGAGAATCGCATATCGTAAATTTGTTCTTGCCCATCGATACAACAGCTGGTTAATACGAGGATAAGAAAAACGAAAAGAATAATTCATAAGTAATTAAGATTTTAAGTTCCACAAAGTTTGTCAGTTTTATTATTATTCTTTTTTATTCTTTTTATTTTCATCGTTTGCTTAGTTAACAGGTATACCAACGGATATTATAAAATTGAAATAATTTATTATTAAAGTTTATTTGCATACATACTGTACAAGACTTTCGAATTTTGCAATAGCTTTTATGAACTTCTTATTTTGAAATTCAACCAGTTGACACGTTGTACAACAAATAAACATATATAACACAGCGTATTCTATAATTAGGTGCATTTTTTTATTCACATGTCAACCAAGGTATCATATAAAAATGACTTATCGCATGAAGACAATAAATTGCAGAATTTTATTGATGAATTTTTTAAAGAATTTTGCGATATCTATACAGTAGAAAGATCGAAAGGAAAAGACTCTAAATCGATTCTTAATATAATAGATCAGTACTTAACGGAAAAGCAGCAAAACCCCGCGGAGATAATAAATTGGTGCTTAAAAAATAAACTCAATTCTACGGTTCATAATATCCTTGCAAGTTGTTATCTTTATGGAAAATGGATTGAAAAAGACGAAAATGAGGCATTTAAGTATTACCAAAAATCAGCTGAAATGAGCGATTTAAATGGAATATTTGGCGTGGGCTATTGTTATGATGAAGGAATTGGAGTAGAAAAGGATGAATATAAGGCATTTGAATATTATCAAAAATCATCTGAGATGGGTCATGCAGGGGGAACATTTAATGTTGGTTATTGTTATCTCAATGGAATTGGAGTTGAAAAGGATGAATATAAGGCATTCGAATATTATCAAAAATCATCTGAGATGGGTA